GATTTGTGCAGATTTTTGCTTCAAATGACTGATGCTCTTAATGAAAGTACACCTTGTGGGTAAGAGTTCTTGATGGAAGTCTAGTTCACGTGTCTCTATGGAAGGTCAGGATTTTGAAAATCTTCAGAGATACAGTAGGAAAAATGGATGCTTTTTGCCCAAACACCAAACTGAAGTTAAAAGAATCATTACAAGGTAGTAAGGAGTTAAAGGGGAACTTTTATTTTACTAAGATTACTATACTACATAGGAGAAGAATACAACAAATAACAGACATGTGTGTTAGAGATCATATGGGAGACAAAATTGTCATAGATAAGAAATGGGTGGACTTCGGAGATAGGAACTGATGTTCAAAGAGGATTCTTCTTAAAGCTTTATAATTGTATCTACAGCATTGTCCCTGTTATGGTCATTTTGTAAAACGTCCAGTTAAATCTACATTTCTGAAATATTTTAAAAATTTCCATCATTACTTTGCTTATTTGCAAGTACTACAGAAAATAATGTTGGATCTTAGAAAAGAGTTGTGAGATGTCATATGAGTTCTGAGAATGGAACCTAGGTTGGATAAGCAGACAGTCATCTTAACCATGTGCCCATCTGTTCAACTGTATCTTTGAAATATTTTAAAGTTAGAGTGTGAACAAGAACATAACCATCAAAGAACTCACATTCACAGAAATAGCTAAAATTTGGCTATGAAATGCCCTCTGTAAGTGTATCCTAATTAAAAGCTTAGACCATGTAATGGTGTTATGGGAAGCAATGGATGTTTTAGTACTAGGACCTAGTGAAAAGCCTGTAAGTTATTGCAATCATGCCTTCAAAGGGGATGTATGATCCAAGATCCTTATATTTTTCGCTTTCATGTACTGGCTATGAAGGAAAAATTTACTGTGCCACATTCATCCTGCCATTGTCATCTGTCAATGTCTTTAAGGACTGAAGAACAATGAGTCTGACTTAATGTGAACATAAAAAACTATGATCCCACACAAGCTCTTCACTTTAAACATGGATTATTTTAATAATATGTTTAAGAGACAGGAAGCTTATTGATATAGATATCATAAGATTAAATGAGACAGAATACTAAGAATCACTCTGATTTCATTAAAATGTGATGTACTCAAGTTAAAGCCTATATCATGACTGTTTTCTATATATGCACATGGCATGCTTTTTCAGTTCATAGATCCATTCTCTATTAAAATAAATTTAACCTCCCTAAGATCTTCCCATAGGGATAGCATGCATACTGATGTGGGATGCCCCTCCATAAGTAGCAAATATGTGTTGCTTTTATTGGCTGATGAATAAAACTGCTTTTGTCTATGGCAGGGCAGAATATAGCTAGGCATGAAATCCAAGCAGAGATACAGGGAGAAAGAAGGCAGAGTTGACAGAAGAAACCAGCAACATGTCAATACATAGTTTAATACTAATGGGTTAATTTAAATATCAGAGCTACCTAGTAATAAGCCTGAGCCATCAGCCAAACAATTATAATTAATATTAAGCCTCTGATCGATTGTTTTGCAAGCAACTGCAGGACTGACAGGTGGAACAGAAAAGTTCCTGCTACAGTCCACAATTTAAGTTACTGTTACATTTGGGTAGAATGCATTCAAAACATCAATACTAGAGATTAGCTTTCTTTAATTCACTCAGAAGAAGGAACAATAAATTATATCATATTTTATGTTCTATTTTGTATCATGTTGAGTTAGATTATATTGTTATATTAGGTTAAATTATTAAGCTATGTTATGTTTGTTGTAATGTTATAATATTACAGAAGAAAAATTTTCCCGTGGGCATTCTTAAATACTGTCTCACCCACCCTTATAAGGTCTCATAGACAAATGAAATTACTAATTCACCAAAGTTCACATTGCAGAACGAGTGAGTTTATTGTGCATGGCTATGTGTATGATGGCCCTTTCTATTTACATTCCCATATTATGTAATCTATTTCTATGGATACAACCCCATTCCAGGCCATGTGCAATGAGGGCAAAATTGTATACAAATGTTTGGAAGGGGTAGCTGGGATCTCATATGGATGTCTAATAACTGCTGCAAGCCTCTCTTTTTATGAAGTAATGTCAACAGTCTAGCTTTGATGATGGGTGGCAAGTAGGTACATTGTATATGATGAAAACTGCACATTTTATGTATTAATAACTATGTTCTACAACAATTGCATTGTTATTATATTATACTATTAGTCAGCATTTACATGGAAAATCTATATACTCATTTTCACATCTTGCTTTTGGGCACAGACACTTTCATTGACAGACATACTTATAGAACTCAAACATGTTCATTTTTCCCTCATGCTCTTAGAATGTTTCTTTATGAAACGCATTGAAGTATATTTCACAGACTTCTATTTATAAGCAGTGTTTTGGATTGGATATAATTTTGTGAACATACTAGAGGAACAATTTAACACACTCAGATACACTAATAATATCAAAATTATTATGACTTCTCCCTTGATGTAGATGAACTCATTGCACTCACTGTGCTAGTTGTGTGTAGACAGAAGGGCACAAAATTAACTTGTACACAATTAGTTCAAAAGCACTATCTTTATGACCTTCTATCATTATGGAGTCTATAATTGATTTTTAAGAGAAACAATATTGATATCAGTACATAAGAATTAGAAATATTTCATATGTGGAAAAAAACATTAACATGCAGGCAAGTAAATAAGATAAATATTTTATATCATTCAAAAAAGTGGGTTGTGTAGTGATGACACAAGCTTTTAATCCCAGTACTTGGGAGGCAGAGGCAGACAGATCTCTGTGAATTTGAGTCTGGCCTCACCTGCAAAGTAAGTTTCAACGAGCACTGTTTCACAGAGAAATCCTGTTTTGAAAAACCAAACCATCCCCCCACCAAAAAAGAAAAACAATAAAAAATTGTTATAAAATATCACAGCACAGCATAAGTGACAAACTTAAAGGTGACAAATCTGTTGCTAATGTCAAGTTTATTGAGAAATATTGAAATGTTTTATCCTCTAGGACCTGTAAACATAAGGGTAGTCACTCCAGTTATCCAGTTCAGTATGAAATGACAGTCACAGCAATAATGTAGAAGAAACAAATGAAAAGGAAGAAAACAAATGATGAGTACATTAAATTATACCTTTTTTGCAGATCTTACAGTTCTGTACTTAGAAAATCCTAGAAATTTTATAAAAAGACTTCCATCACTTATAAATTTGACAAAGTAGCAGATAACAACACACAAAAACCAATGGCTTACTTATAAGAGAGAAATAGAGAAAGCAATTCCATTGGGAAAATCTTAAATAAACAGCAGGCACTTAATAAATTTAATGTAGAAAATAAAAAGCTGTTAATGAAAATATGACATTGAAGATAGATATAGCAGACGACACAAGAAGACACAAAGGTTTGTTGTGTTCTACAGTGAAGAACAAAAGAACATCATTCCATCATACCTGTCCTCAAAGAAATGAAGGCACTTTTGGTAAATTCTAAAACTATTCAGGAGGAAACTGTTATGCTACCCAGACATCATAATTGAAAAATATCCATGGACTCATGCTGAAGAATTCTCCATGGAAATAGGCAAACTTGCCTTCACTCCGGTTTAAGAGACTTTTTCCTTACAAAGTTCTTACTTTATTGTATTTTGCATGATCCTTTGACTAGTTTCCTAGGCCTCATGACATGAAAGTGAGAGATCTTTGCTTAAAAGACAAATGCACTCTTTCTTATTAAGAAATGATAAAATGACAAGAGAATATCTCTCTTGCTTAGCTGCTGCATATATATATATGCATATATGTGTGTGTAATGAATATATCTAAGTGATAAATGTGATATATGGTTTACTTACAATTGTTTTACAAAAAATTTTATAAAAAATAAACATAAATAGATAATAAATTTCTGTCATCTGGAATTAAACCAAGTTAGAAAAATTTTCAACACCATCAGGAATCTTTTACTACATTCTGAGTACTATAGGACCTACTGTTTCCTTTATTTTTGAGTATCAGATTATGGTAGCAGAACAAAAATTTCCATAGAGTCATAAAAAGAAAAAAGACACTATCAAACAGCTTAAATAATATTTGTGTACAATGTACAAGAATGTAACTTTATGCTGAGACAGCACTGTATGTATGGTAAGTTTTCTCTCACACTTTAGGTGAGCATATTTGTTAGTAGTGAGGAGAAATATATTGTTAGCTTCTAATTAGGTTCCTTTGCTTTATGTGCTGGCACATCACAAAGGTGATATAAAATGAAAATAATAATAAAAAATTTTAGAGACTTATAAAAAAGATTTAGTTTAAGATTAGGAGCACAAGTTTGTCTTAAAAATATCTGGTTTTTTTGTTTTGTTTTGTTTTGTTTTGTTGAAACAGGGTTTCTTGTGGCTTTAGAGACTGTCCTGGAACTAGCTCTTTTAGACCAGGTTGGTCTCGAACTCACAGAGATCTACCTGCCTCCTGAGTGTTGGGATTAAAGGCCTGTGCCACCACCACCTGGCTAAAATATCTATTTTATCTCTTTCAAAAGCTCTCCCATTTTATTAATGGAAGCTAATATGAATAGGCAGCTGTGGCTCATGTGAGGAGTTCCTGCATGGGACAGTTCCAAGAAGAGTAAAAAATGAAATGACCATCTCAGCTTTCCTTTTGAGTAAGGTACTGGCCAATATACAAATCAATTTAATTTAGATATCTAACATTATTAATAATGCTTGCCCAAATTTACATTTGAGGAAGCTGAGCCTCAAAGAGAGTTAAGTGACATATACGTTGTCATGAACAGTGGGTTAAACATTAGAATGATGGACTCTCTGAGTGGTTGATGAATTCCGAGGAGCTTTTGTAGTTCACCTGACTGTATGGTGGAATATCCGTCATTCTAGGACCTGTGTGCCTTCTTCACATTCCGATGGAGCCCATGCATTCATTTACATAAACCACAACCTACCTCCAAAGTGTGGTGGTGGGCCACAGAGGAGTACCACACCTTGACCTTCTCGGACAGACACTGTGCTTCTGGTTTTGGTTTCAAAGTCTTCAATATCTTGGGAAAACAAACAAACAAAAACAGGTTCACAATTCCTTACTTTTTAAAGTGCAGAAGATTCTGAATGTCTTAAAGGTAATGTATTTTCATTGTTATTAGTAAAGGTAATCATATTTGGAATAAGCATTTCTGTATATACATATATATGTATATATGTATAGTCAATATTTTGATAAACTCATTTCTTACAGCTACTCACTCATATAGTTTGTAACTCAGTAGATGGTCCTCTAAGCACAGTACATATTTAATATGTCCAGACAATGTGTATTTAAAAGTATATGCATGCCAGGAGGTGGTGGCACATACAACTTTAATCCCAACACTTGGGAGCCAGGGACAGGTATATCTCTGGGAAGTCAAGGCTGGACAAAGTGAGTTCCCAGACAGCCAGGACTCACATACAGAGAAACTCTGTCTTGAAAAAAACAAACAAACATAAATACATAAGTAAATAATGGGTATGCAGTCAATATACTAAAGTCTACCTTTTTAGATTAATGATTGTCATTTGATGGTTAAACAATGTCTCAGCTTTAGGATATAGTGACCTGAGACACAAAGCTGCTATTGACAGAACTGTAGCATGAAAAATAAAAACCCAGAAATAGATATTGGGGTTTAAGCTGATGGTCAGATAAGCTAAGCAGCCAGCCACCAGCTCTTACCTCTTCCTCACACACAAAGGGTGATCTGGCTAGCTCCACAATCCTAAAACTGCAATCCCAGACGGGTGCCTCACATCAAATCTTGGGGTTAAAGGTAGGAACTCTGATTCACTCTTATGTAGCCCAGGATTGCCTTGGACTCACAGAGATCCACCTACCTCTGCCTCCCAAGTGCTGAGATTACCTTTGTGTGAGCTGTTTTCTTTTAGACTGGATCAATTTCATGTAATTCAGTGTGGCCTTGATCTAATAGAGATCTGTCCTGAGTCCTGGGATTAAATGTGTGTATCACCACTGCCTGGCTCTATGGCTGTAGCTAGCTTTGCATTTTGATCTCCAACAGCTTTATTAAATAGTAAACAATATATCACCACACAGTACAATGAAACAGAAAGTAAATTGTGTACTTTCTCTAAATCACCTCACAAAGCTTCTCCTTGAATTTATTTGGGATGTGTGATTTCCTATATTAAGGAATCCTAGATATTCAGAAATGGTGAAATCTTGATAAACCAACTAGTTAACCTTTAAAGCTATTAACTTTCCTAGGAAAAGTCAGCCAGCCTCCAGGAATGGCCAAATGTTTAATTCCCTCTGAGCATCAACATCTTCATCTATAAAATACATCTCTTGACTCATTCATTCATTCACTCATTCTAAAGGATAGGAATGTTGTTTAAGTACAGAAGCCATATTTTAAAAAAATAACAGAGAATCACTAAGTGCTGACTCACTTTTATTCTGAGTGTCTAGTAGGAAAATTAGACATGTACCAAAATTAGATCTACCAAAAAGTATATTGATAATAGTGTGCGATCATTATTTTGAAACAGAGTCTACTGCTGTGAAGATCTATTCTCCCTTCTTCAGTAGTATCAGGGTTGGAAACAAGCATATTCCTCTATCTAGATGATACATTCTCCAGACTTCTTTGTAAGCATGTGTATCAAACAGAAAGATAATATGGTATCTGTGTTTGAGACTCTCTCTGAAAACATTCATGATTCCTTTTCACTCAATTTCCCTACATCTAGACATGCCAATAAAATAAAGACAACATCCCTTACATTTAGACATGAAAGATTTACTATTATCTGGATATTTAAAAGATTTTTGTGACAAACTTTGCCCATTGTTACTCCTGCTTGACCACCATAACGACATGGTCAGACCCTATTGGTGAAGACATCTCTCACTTTTGTTACAGGATATAGAGAAATCAACCTTGAACTGACCAGGAAACTCTTCTGATTCTTTGGGAGCTTACACAATGCCAGGGATTACTATAAAGAAAGCTAAAGGAGAAGAGATGTCAGTGGTCTTACACAGTGCTAGATTCAGCATGCTTTGACCTCCCAGGAAAAAATGCACTCATTGGTGCAATACTCAAAATACACCCATTGACATGGTTATTGTAGGATAATAGTTTTCAGATTGGATATGAGGCCTGCTCAGCAGGAGGAATTTCATGCCAGGTACTGTAACTCTGGTCAAAATCCATGATTGAAGGGATCATAGGCCTAAGAGAGAAACCTACTGTTTTTCTTTTGCTAAACAGTCATGCTGCCAATATTTGTTTATACCATGGAATAGTGCTTCTCTCAACTTTGATCAAAGAAGCGTATTTGGTAATGGGTGTTGCTTAATGCAAAAACTCATACCTTGTCCACATACCAAGTATAAATAACTATAAACACTCAGTTGTGAGTGGGTCATATATCAACCATCCCATGCAAAGCTCCTGGAACTTTGTAGAAAAAGGTGGGGGAGACCCAGGACATGAAGACTTCTCAATATAATATGGCTGCTACATATCAAGTCAGAGCAGTGTGCTTACCTGCACAAGATCAAACTTTTCAGAATTCCAGCATAGACTGGGAGCTACTGGTCACTGATGCTCCTGAGAGAGGGAGAATCACTCTGCTTTGGAGATGTGGTACTGGTAAGTGGCTCATGTCCCAGTGAGTGACTTAACACAAGTGTGCGTATGTACAGTACTAATTGGACTCTATACATTATTAATAACAAAATAATAAAATAAAAGAAGTTGAGTGCGAGATGAACTGGGGGCTCTCTGGGAGGGAGTGGAGAGCAGTAATGATGGATGAATATGATCAGTATATGTTATATAAATGTATGGCACATTACAAATGCACTGACTTGTATTTTAAAAAGCAGACTGTGTTAATCATAATCACCAGTAAAGTTCTATTGTGCTGAATAATCTCTTTGTTATTGTAGTTTAACCTTTTATCCTCAGATATCCTTCAAAGGAAATGAAGAAAGCACAGGTCTGATTGATAATAAGAGGACCAACCTTGACTATGTGGAGAAAGGGAGACAATTTCTTCCATAAAGAAAAAAAATGAGACTAAAATTTTTAGATGCACAGAATTCATAGTGAAAATAAGCCACTGCTGCTGCCATTAAAATGCAAGATTAAGCAGACATTTTTGGTTCTGAAATTAATATAGATATAGACTATGTAGATAATATACATATAGACTATAGTAAAATAGAAGAATATTTGGTTAAAAGTAATAATAAATCATTACAAAAATCATATCCATTTACTTCCATTAATCAGAAAGAAGATATAAACTCAGAGAGGACTGATTTGGAAAATACATAAATCATGTATGGTGGTCTGTACCTGTGATTCAAAACCAAGAAGATACTGAAAGAAGAAGCACAAGTTAGACAAGACTGTATAAAACTCCTGTCCCAAATAAAAACAAAATTCTTAATGTCACTTTGTTAAAAATAGAAGAAAGCTATGTTTTTAAATATATTTACACTACTACTGAATTACAAAAGAAATAATATAAAAACCTACGTGTGACATACATGCAACTCAATAAGCTGCTACAAAGTTTCTTACAAGCTGGATATTTTAAATTTATTCATATTGTTTTTAGTTGAAGAATAACTGAGGCATGCCATTTCCTCTGTGAACATTTTATAACCATGGTATACTTGACAGAAGACTATATTTTAAATTTGCTTAATGCCCCACTAGTAGTATGATCTAAAATGTTATAAATATGATTCGAATAAACAAGAGAGTATACCAGCAATATCTTGTCTATGGAACACCTCATTCATGAATAGGAAAAAGCCAATGCCCAGATATATAAAAAGAGGATTTATCAGCAAACAAATTACTTAAAGCTACATTAACAGATGTGGAATGACACTCCAATTTTTAATTATGAGCTATTTAACAAATATCTCTTGATTCCAGTACTGAAAATATGAACTCTGTAGAGGCAGAGATACTGAGATTACAAGAAAGAAAAGAGAAGGTAAACACAAAAGAGAAAACATGCAGCTGAGCAATGAAGGAGCAGGAAAGGTTTGGACAGAAACGGTTAATCATATGTGATCTTGACAAAAGAAATTCAGTAACATTTTCAGACAAGGCCAAGTGCAGCAAAGGGCATGTGGTTCAGAGGCTGCCCAACTCTTCAGAGCAGGCTTGGAACAGCAGGGCAGATTTAGGAGGGACATGGAAGGGGTTGTGCAACTATTCCTATTAGCTTGCTGGTTGCTAGAACAGTTATGAAAGGGCCTATGGGGGGACAGTCCTTTGCAAGGAAGTGGAACCAGGAGAAGGGATCTATGTGTAGAAAGAATATGACTGTGAAGTATTCTCTCATTAGAATAAAAAGCTTTGGATGGTGGCTCTAAATCTCCGGAGGAATCTGGAAAGAGAATGTTTGCAGGGTCATTTGAGAGGACAGAGGATTCAAGCACTTTTGGAGTGGAGATTGAATGAAACTAAAAACACAAGGAATCCAGATTGCAGCTAGAGTGACATTTGAAGAAAAGAGAAAACCACTATATTTTTTGGTGGATATGTGTATATGTATATTATATATATTATTTTTTAAAGAATTTTTATTTAAATTATGAACAAGCTTGCTTCACATGATAATCACAGCTCCCTCTCCCTCCCCTCCTCTCCCATAATCCCCCCTACCAACCCCAAACCAATCCCCACTCAATTCCCCAAGGAGGCTGAGGCCATCCATGTGGGAATCTCCAGAATCTGTCATTTCATTCAGAGTAGGACCTAGGTACTCCCCCAAGAGTATAGGCTGAGAAAACATTCCTCATTGTGGGATGGGTACCCAAAGTTCGTTTGAATGCCAGGGATAAATACTAATCTACTACCCAAGGCCCCATAGATTGTCTATGCCTCCTCACTGGCACCCACATTCAGGGGTTCTGTATCAGTTCCATGCTGGCTTCCCAGGCATCAGTCTTGGGTCCAAGATCTGCTGCTTATTCAGGTCAACTGTTTCTATGAGTTTCACCAGCCCATTT